TTCCAGTGGAAGCGGGAGCACGAGCAGGCTTTCCAGCGGATCCGCGATGCCATCATCGCCGACCCGGTGCTCATGCTGCCCGATCCAAGTACGCCTTTCGAAGTCGAGGCTGATGCTTCGGACTTCGCGATCGGAGGACAACTTGGTCAGAGGGACAAGGACGGCAAGCTTCACCCAGTTGCGTTCTTCTCCAAGAAACTCGAAGGACCAAGGCTTAACTACCCGATCCACGACAAGGAGCTTCTCGCAATTATCGAAGCATTTCAGGAATGGAGACCATACCTCAGCGGCACGACACACGAAGTCCAGGTGTACACGGACCACAAGAACTTACGATACTTCACCACCACCAAGGTGCTGAACGGACGACAGACTCGATGGGCAGAATTTCTGTCCGAATTCAACTTCACGATCCACTACAAGAAAGGCTCAGAAAACGCACGAGCGGATGCCTTGAGTAGGAGAGCGGATCACCACGACAACGCGTCTGAAGCCTCACCACCATTGCTACATCAACAGACAGACGGATCGCTACGGCACGCTTCCCAACCGACTGAAGACTACGAGATCGCAGCACTTCAGCAACAGTCGGAAGATCCCGAAGCCAGGCCTCTGCAACCGTTTGTAGAATGCTGTGCGGCCTTCAGAGAACAGAGACTGGAACGAGACTTCCAAGGAATCATCGCGGACGACGAACGCGATGCATGGCAAGAAGAGCCGGAATCCAAGATCGCAGGGTTGCGACTTGAAGGAACGAGGCTCTGGTACCACGACAAGGCCTACGTCAGGCTTGGTGACCAAAAGGAGCTCATTCAAAAAATCCACGAGTCGAGACTCGGAGGACACATGGGAATCAGCAAGACAATTGCGAAAGTCAAGCAGAACTACGACTTCCCAGGAATCAAGCAGACGGCAGAAGGGGTCCGAGCGGAATGCGACCTCTGCAAGCGGAGCAAGCCAGGACGACACAAGCCGTACGGGCTACTACAGCCATTGCCAGTCGCAGAACGACCATGGAGTTCGGTGACGATGGACTTCATCACCAAACTACCAGCCTCCAAGGACTCAGTAACGGGAGTAGAATACGACAGCATCCTCACGATGGTGGACAGACTCACCAAGTGGAGTTACTTCCTCCCTTACAAGGAGACATGGTCAGCAGAACAACTCGCAGATGTGATCTACCGCAACATCACCTCGGTCCACGGCTGGCCGGAGGAATGGATCACGGACAGAGACACCAAGTTCGCATCAAAGTTTTGGCAGGCTCTGATGACGAGACTGGGTACGAAAAGTAAGCTCTCAACCGCTTACCACCCACAGACGGACGGACAGACGGAACGACTCAACCAGGTTGTCGAACAATACCTACGGTTGTACGTCAATTTCCAGCAGGATGACTGGGTCGAGCTGTTGCCAACGGCACAACTCGCCTACAACACCACCGTCACGGAGACCACGAAGGTCACACCATTCTTCGCGAATTACGGCTACGAAGCAGATTTGCGACAAGGGCCCGAGGTTTCGGTGCCCAGAGCGGCAGTCAAAGCCGACAAAATGAGCTCGCTGCACGCGATGCTCAAGGAAGAACTCGAATTCGTACGAACACGGATGAAGAAGTTCTACGACAGAAACAGGCTCGAGGGACCTCGCCTAGAGGAGGGGGGCAAAGTCTACCTCATTTCTCGAAATCTTCGCACGAAGCGACCAAGCAGGAAGCTCGACTTTCGCAAAGTCGGACCGTTCAAGATCGACAAAAAGATTTCGGAGAACAATTACGCTCTCGCGTTACCCTCGACAATGCGACTACGGACCAACGTTTTCCACATCTCACTTCTGGAACCAGCGCCCAAGGGCGCACGACTCGACAAGGACGCCGAGGCAGAAGACGAAGAGGAGGAATGGGACGTTGAGGAAGTCCTAGATTCACGCATCACGAAAGGACAGTTGGAGTATTTGGTCAAATGGCTGGACTTTGGCCCAGAAGACAATTCATGGCAACCAGCTACAAATCTCAACTGCCCCGAGAAACTTCAGGAGTTCCACCAGAGGAACCCGGATCGACCAAGGGAAACCCCGCAGACAAGTCGACCCCAGCGAGGAAGGGGTCGTCCGAAAAGAAACTAGCATAGTCAGCACGAGGACGAGAAGAAGCAGGAGAGAGAGGGGGCACACCTTTGACCCCAGGAAGGACCCAGGGGAGAAGCGACAACGGCACTCGAAGACGGCTGCGCGACGGCAGCCTCGCGGCGCTCTTGCTCCTCCAGCACCCTCCCCTCCTGGTCAAACATCCGGCGTGCCTGATCCTCCAAGGACTGGTGTTGACGGCGCAAGCGGTCAACCCGCGCGAGGGCGGCGCCTAGGGCCTGATCGGCCTCTTGACGCTCCTTGTCCAGTTGACGTTTCTGCAGGACCAAGCGTTGGAAGGCGGAACTATCGTAACCGAAGGAGTCACAATTGTTATTGTGCACCTTGGCGCATGCGGTGCAGACGTCGTCCTCAGGAGGCACGCGGCAATCAGGAATGTTCTTTTCTTTGCAACGAGAACAACGGGCCATTTCAACGGCAAACTCGTCTCGGGCGGATGCGCGATCGCGGCGGCGATCAGTACTGGATTTCTGCGATCGTTTCTTTCGCACACGGTTAGGAGGCATGATGGGTAGAGGCGCAGAAAGAAGGGAGACACCCACCCCAGGACGAAGGGAGGAGGACTAGCCGGCTCCTTATGACAAAAACCACGGAAGGGAATAAGGTCGTCGGGACGTCGACCGCGGAGGAGGGGCATCGTGTCACGGATTAGGCCCAACGCGGTCTTGGCCTGCGGGATGCGGGACGTCCCGGCCAATCATTTAAGGGTCCAACGGCCAATCGTTGCGACAAGTGAAAGCGCTCCCGACGCTCCCTCTCGAGGAAGGGAGCACGGGGAGCACTCGCCGCACTCACTGCTCACGACGCTCCCATCGCTCCTCGGGAGCATAGGGAGCAGAGGGATCAACACGTTAGATAGCAGTATATAGTCACTCGTTCTGGAGAGCTCTGGGAGTTCTCCAGTTAGCAATCACAACTACAGTTCGCTACAAGATCGAGAGCCTACTGTTGAGACAAGTCTTTGTTGTGCACCTTTTGGCTGCACCGAACCTAAGCACCCTTGAGAGAATACCTTCGACCGATACTGAACCCTAACAGGACGGGTCCAGAGACAGGTTCGTCACAGAGATAAATAGTTGTTAATAAGGTCTAATAATAGGATAGGATAAACTTATAAAGTTTAGCATTCTCTTCATTAAATATTGTTAAAATATTTAAAATGAGATATAACTAGTTAACTTAGTTATTTAAATATATATAGTTATATCTAGTACTTAAGAATATTTTATATTATTACTATTATAGCTTGCTGTTTTCAAAAATATATATATCTAAAGTAAGTAGCTATCCTAAATATTTATTTATTTATATAGTAGAGTAGTTAAATACCTTAATATTATTAGAGTATACTATAAGTATTAGATATATAGAAGTAAGTTATTATTATTATACCTAATATTTACGTAATACTTTGCTTAATATAAGATATAAATGTTTATAATTTATTAAATTTATTTAATGGTTTATAAGAGGGATATTTAAACTATAGAAAAGGGGGTAATATAATAATAACAGTATATTTAATTCCTTAGCTCATTCTTTACTATATAATATATTATACTATAGTAAATTAACTAATTATCATCGATTCTAATTAACACTTCAGTTATATAAACTAAGATTATACCTTAAGAAGTTAGCTTTCTACAATATTATCTCCTCAACTTATTAGGAGTCTCTAACTAAAGAACTAGAAACTGAACTCTTTAGAGAATTACTAAAGAAGATGCTAGTACAGATACGGGCTGCGGAACTAAGGCGATTTACAGGCAAACAAAGATTTAATTCCTAGCTAAACACTCTTGTTTAGACCTAAGGTTAGGTCTGGGGAGTAACTGGAACTGATCCTTGGGGAGCTTCCCCAGGATCGGGTTCGACTATGCTTAAAAGGCTCCTTACTGAGCCTCATAACATTACTATCCATTCTGGGGCTCTGAGGCCCTGTTTTGTAACAAAAACTTAGATCCTAGCTAAGAATCCTAACTTAATAATATAAATATATATTTTTAAGGAAAAAGACCTTTTTAGTTAGAGTTGTTTTTACAAATGCTCCTATATATTGAATTTTGCCTGTAATTTCAACGATTGTTAGGCTATTAAGGTAAGGGGGTTTTTAAATTTTAAATGTAGGCCTGTGTTAGAAGAACCGCGTTAATAAACAAACCCGGGTTGTACTGTAGAATACCCGGTGGTTATGTGTAGAGGTAGAGTTGAGCTAAGATCACCTGACCACCGGGTACTTAATATATGATATATTTTATTTCTCTGCTTTTGTACCTTGACGTTATGCTGTATTTCTTTACTTTAGTTTCCCCCATTAGCTTCGCCAATATTCAACGTACAGTCGTTCACTTCCTGGTAAAGGGAGAATGGCTTGTTTTATTGTACGAATCCATGTTCGACCTGTGACGCTTAACATCGGGTATCGTGATATTAAAACAGCTCGCAATGAGAGCTGAGCACAAATGACGTGGGAAACCAAGTAAAGCCAATTGAACATGCTTCAAACGAAAGGAAAGAAAAGACCCAATCCTCGACAAGACTGCCGCCTCGCTATGGCTCAGAAACGGCCCGCATCCCTCGCTTCGCGCCCGAGAATCCGGCATCTCCCGTCGAGCACTGCCTCGATCCCAAGACCAAATGCTGGTGGTCGGTGGCTTGGCGCCCAGCCAAGACTCTTGGAAGTTGATGTCATCGCTGCCGGCCCCACTGGTGACTTCTGGTGGTGGTGTTCTCGAGAAAACGCCGACAAGTTCGCTATTCTGTCGTCTGTAGACTTGAGCGCGCGTGAGTTTATCACGGGGGCTTCATCGGGCGTCGAACCAGGCGAGGTAATCATGGCCGGGCCCTCCTTAGTATCTGCAAATAATCCATAAGGCGTGGACGATACCGGGGAGGTACTGCAGAGGGCAGTTAGTTTTGCTGCGCGTTGGGATCATGCGGGACAGAACGAAACTTACGCCCAGGATAGTCAAGAGGATGTTAATTAGCAGGTCGGAGCCACACCCGCGCTCGAGGAAGACACCCAGCGGCGGGAGGATGACAGCAAAGATGATCTTGCAGATGTCGCTAACAGAGAGGGTAAGTAGACTGCTAAACAGGCGCGGGGGGGTTGGGCCGGTGTGTTCTGGGGCTTACCTCGCGGTGAAAGGCATGCTGACGGTGTTTGTTGAGTGTTGATGTGAATGAAATGTTTTACTTTTGCGGTTGATTTCGGCTGAGGGACTCGACAGGTTCGAAGAAATCGTTGATAGCCGGTGATTGTGTGTGAAGAGGAGGACAGGAGTGAGGGCGCTGGCGGCGTCTTAAATATCTGCCGGGTGTCCAGTGACACGTCGGGCGGCTGCCAAGGGATGCTCCGTAGGCTTTTCCAAGGTAGGGATGGCAAGTGTGTGTGCCGCCGGATGGGTTTGGAGCAGGCAGGGCGGATTACACCTTGTCGCGACAATAACCTAGCGAGACTGCGTCATACCACGGCACGCACGTCGCATGCAGCCGGCCATTCCAGGTTGCCCAGTTTGGAGGCAAGCCCTCCAGTGGCGGGGATCCCGACGCTTCACCGTACTTCCCGCGGGCGGAACTCGGAACTCAACGGCTGTCGGCACTCGGAGGGCCGAGAACTCGTCGACGGGACCGCCAATGCGAACGGGAATACCGTATCGTGTTATACGGAAATGATCTCACGTTAGGGCCGAACCTGGTGAAATTCGTCACTCCCGGGCTGCGAGTTCCCGACGGAGCCAACCAACGGCTTTGTTTGTTTGTGTTTCAGGCAAATCAGGAGGGTCCTCATTGTTTCGCGAGCGCGCGGAGCTGGTAACGATTGTAGAGTCCTCGTCCTCATGGTCGTGAAAACGTACGAGGTGCGTTGTTACACCCGGTACATTCCCGCCTGCGCCGCCTCCCCTGTTACATAAACCCTTGCTGCGGCATTCGCCATGCCTCTGTTTCTGTTGGCTGGCGCCAACATGCTTGGTGGCATGGCGCAGCGTCTCAACGGCAGCTGGGCAGCTTGGCGGCTGGGACCCAAGTGTTTGCCAATGCCACATGCATCTCCTGCATCCCTTGAACGCGCACTTGGAACAGTTTTTAGCGGGTCCGAAAATCTACTTGGGTACAATCAGCCACATTATTTTGGTGAGATTGTGGCGCCCAACAGGGGGGATTTTGGTGTTGGCTAGGGTCAACAAATGTATCACCACCAAACAACAATGTACTGTGGATACGGACTTGGCGCATCTACAGCTTCCAATTGGTGGCCCCGCTAAAACTGTTCCAAGTGCGCGTTAAAGGGATAGGGCTCGACACTCAGCCGAGCGCCTGCCCCAAAGTGACGTCCCGTAAACGGATGACGTCACAACTATACGTAATGTGGCTGAAGGGCGTGGCGTAGGCTGGTCACGAACCAAACGTAATTTAACCAGAACCTTTGGTTACGGCTTTGTATTCGTAGCGTGGCCGTGGATAGGTAGTTAAGGTTATCCTGCCCGGGCCCATGGCACCTTGAGGAGCTCTGGTCAATACCCAGGTTCCAATATATACTGCTTGTCAAGGCAGATAAACAACCCGTTCTCCTTCGTACAAAATCCCAAGAACGCTATTGAACGGCGGTTGACCTCGTTGCCCGTCTTATTTCTAGCGTTGAATAACAGGTTTGGCCGTTTGACAGATTGATATGCATATGGTTCCGTCCATCGACGTACTCCCGACCACCTTACTACCAGCAACGAGAGTTCTGCAATGCGATGCGGCGCAAAACTTTGCCAGAAGCCCGTTCGGCATGAGCCTTGGCACGGACCTTGGCACGGACCCGTTCCTCTGAGTGCTTCGGCCCCACCATAACCCTCAAAGCCCTAAAGTTTGGGCCACATTTTTGCGAAACGCTCCCCAATAGAATCTTTCACCGCCCGCAACGCAAGATTTCTCGATATTTTAATATCGCGACACCACACAACTAGGCGCAGGATATCAACCTCTTTGCGTCCCAGACAACAACGGTTAATACTCACCGACCCTTACCGACAGAAACAATGGCTCCCATCGCAGTATGTCCCACAACCTGACGGCTTTGCTGTTGGCCCAGTCCCTCGGGCCACCGAGTCGGATCATGGCGTGAAGCAGTAGGCTAAGTCAATTCCTTCGGGATAACAGAAGAAGACCGGCGCCAAGAAGGGCCCTAAGGTGACGAAGAAGGTGAGTGCCGCACCGCCGATTATGCTTGCTTGCTGTCGCTAACAAGCCGCCCGCACAGTTCATCATCAACGCTTCGCAGCCCGCCAGCGACAAGATCTTCGATGTCTCGGCATTTGAGAAGTTCCTGAACGAGAAGATCAAGGTCGAGGGCCGCGTCGGCAACCTCGGCGAGACTATCAAGATCTCGCAGCAGGGAGAGGGCAAGATCGAGATCATTGCCCACAACGAGCTCTCTGGCCGGTATCTCAAGTACCTGTAGGTCCTCGCTATATCTGCTGCCGATCCTATCAGCAGAGTGCTAACGTCCGTCGCAGGACCAAGAAGTTCCTCAAGAAGATGCAGCTCCGTGACTGGCTCCGCGTCGTCTCCACCTCCAAGGGTGTCTACGAGCTCAAGTTCTTCAATGTCGTCAACGACGAGGCCGAGGATGACGAGGAGTAACCTGTTCGGACTTCTGCGAGATCATTGGCATGAATAACAAAAGCATACTGGACGGTTGTGCATAGCGGGAATGGGTCAATAAAAGACACAGCCGTTGGTACGGCTACAGCGCATCTAGTCAAACCGCTTTAATTCTCTGGGTATAATATCGTGTGTGATCAAAGAGCCTCGCCTCCGTCTCCAGCGCTCAACCAACTGTAAATAGCAACTCATTCCGGCAACGACCGCATTGCCGCCTCAAACGCCACCAGCGCCATTGCATTTGCAGGAAACGCCCGTAGAAAACAGGGCAAGAAACCGCGCCAGTACCCCATAGCACCGCTCTCCCGGTAAACTGCCTTTGCACCGTCCTTCCATCTCGGGAACCTCTTGATCCCGTCATTCAACCCGCCCCCCAGCGGATCTGTCATGATCCTCTGCTTCACCACATCGCTCGGGTAGCTCATGATCCAAAACACCTGCGCGCTCAACCCACCCGCCCAGAAGTTGATCGCCGGAGCGCTCAAGTTCGTGCGCTGCCGCATCCAGCGCGAGAACAAGTCGTAGCTGCCCCACCAAAAGAAGAAGAAGCTCCTAAACAACAAGGTTGCCTGTAGTCCGTGGTAGACGCCCCGAATTCCGTGGCTCGCCCATACCTTCCGCACGCAGTCCACGGGCCCGCTGTAGAGGCGGTCGCGCTTGCGCGCGGCGTACTGGATCTGCAGGCGCGCCTTGACGTGCTCGACGGGGGCCGCCACGAAGCTGACCGTCGCGCCCGCCAGAACCCCGGCCAGGCCGTGCCCGTGCGCCGGCAGCGCCGCCGCGCTGTCGAACAGCTGCTCCTTGACCAGCCGCCGGTACACCGACAGCGAACCCAGCATCACGCTGTCCATAAACATCCACCCCACCAGCGGCGGCGTCGCGCCCTTGTAGAGTCCCACTAGCCCCTCATGGCGGAGGGTTTGTGTGAGGCATTGCAACGGGCCGGAGAAGCGTGTTGATGTGGTTGTTTGGAGCCGGACTTTGATCGTGTCGAAGGGGTGACCGACTGTAGTGGTGCACGGGGGAAATTAGTGCTGGTAGGACGGCGGGAAGTAGGGAGGTAGGGGAGGGAGGTACCGGAGAGCTTGGCTATCCCCGAGAAGACGCCTGCTACAAAGCCTTTATAATTCTTATTGGACTTGGTTGGGGTTTGTGGTGGTGGTTGCGCAGGCTCCGGTGCCGGGGCTGGGGACTGTATGGTTATGTTGGTTGCCATTGGGGCTGATCCGGGGGGACGGTCGGGAGGGAGGCGGTGGCGCAAGACGGAGGAGACGACCCAGCACGGCAGTGGGCTGGCAATTGGCGTTTAGGGAACGCATAGACGTCTTATAGGAGCCATCTTTGTTGATGTGTCGGATGTGCGGGAGGAAATTCGGGGTCTCACTGACCCACAGATGCGGTATCGGACCAGCGACAGCCGAACAGCTCGGGGTTAGTGGGGCCGACAAGTCAAAGTGTGCCGAGCCAGCATTCTTCAGTCGCCTTCACCTTAGCTGGATGCCTTCCCTACAGAAGGGGACTCATTGGTACATCAGGTAGTTACCATATGCTCCTGACTCAGGCGCTCGACCTCCTGTCCTGGAGTACCGAAAACGTTATTAGGTAGCTAGGAAGTAAATTGTGACGCGAGCTTCCAATCTGTAGTTAATGCACACGCGAAGGGCATTCCAGCTCGGGGATTGTTATGATTTTCACATGTGGCCAGACGAGGATATTTATTCCGCGTTATATGGTTTACTACCCAGTTGGGAAATATACAATATGCCCTCTCAGTGTCCATCCCTGCGCAGTAAGGGTATCTCCTCCAACTCTTCTCCCGCCCCGACACCTCCAGCTTACTTATACCCGCCGTGTTTTTATATTTCTGCCCTCAGAAGCTCTTTCCCCAAACCAATGTCCCTCCCACAACTCGTCCGAGTACGTACCCCCCCATACAGACCACACAGAATCGTAACCGGCCACCGCTGCCACTCGCGATCCCAATCCAGCGGGATTGGCACGGCCCCAAGCCAAGCTCCCACCATGCCTCCTAGCAGTCCACCAAATGTCTCGTCGAGAGGCGCGCTAAAGCTGCCTACAACCGCCCAGGCACTCCCATCCACGCCGTGCACGAAGAAAAGCGGGAGGAGCGTTAGCACGGCTAGGTGCGCCGCGCACAGGAAGGTATGCGCGCTGTGCGTGAGGAAGGGCGCGCCGAATAGGATCATGGCCGCGTATAGGAAGGGCGAGACGAGAAGCGAGAGAACCAGTGAGAGGAGCGAAGTCTGTTTCCATCCCCCCATCACCGTCATCATTAGCGCGCACATTCAACAGGAAAAAAGAGAACGAAAGCACGCGGTGCAAAGAAAACAGCGCAACGTACAGCAACAGCATTGGGCGCACCCGCGTCCGCACCCGCCCTCCTCTTTATACTCTCGCCGGGCCTAAGCTTCGGGGCCTTCCGCGCCCCGCCACCACCACCGCTGCCAGTCTGAGTCGAGCCCGGAGCGGGGAGACAGAGCACGGCGTAAGCGACCTGTAGGGCGGCGACGAAGGGGAGGGCGGTGGCCATGGCCGAGACGGGGTCGGTGACGAGAGGGCGGAAGCGCGCGATGAAGAGGACGGCCAGCAGGGCGGGGAGCGCGTGGCGCGTGGCCTGGGCGAGCGGCGTCGGTCGGATCTGTACCGGGCGGAGCGTCGTAGCAGGCGAGACCGGTGCCGTCTTAGAGAAGGCGACTTGTGCTTGCGCCTGCGCGGCGGCGCCTTTGGCGAGGGTGGTCGACATTATTATTGGGTCGACGAGGGGCATCGCGTGGGTGCGGACGTAGATGACGGGGAAGGAGGGAAGGAAGAGGAATTAATGGATAATTAAAGTTCACAGGCTCGGCATACTCGGCATTGGACCCTAACCCTGCTTACTGCGAGGGGAAGTTTCGCCCTCTGTCCAGCTATGACACACCCGGGCATGGATGGAATTCATCGTGTGAAACTCAAACCCCCAATGTCCTAGGCCATCGGAATACCCTCACTGCGGCTCCTGGGCCGGGATAAGATTTCGCAGCGACAGATCGTACACCACATCCTCAACCTTCTTGACCGCATACTTGATTGAGTCCACCCGCTTTCTCAGGATATCGTTCTTCAAGTTCAGCACCTGAAACCCGGCATGTAGGTCCTTAATAAACCCGCTGATCTTCACGGCCATGGAAGTGTCGCCCAGAGTGACCGAGTTGACTGCCAGCCGGCTCAGGTCATCAATAACGGTAATCAGCCCAAGTAGGTACTCCTCGATTGTGATGTGGAAGGCATCACGGTCCTTGAGGTTGACGGGAACTATTTGGAGTCAGTTGGCGGCCTGTAGCAAAATGTATAACTAGAACGAGACGGACCGTTGAAGGCCTGCCCAATGTCTTCCAGCGTCAACAGGCGGCCAATCTCGCCGGGCTTGGAGTCGGTCGACATGCCGCCTAACCAGGCACAGATTATGACGGTAGAAACGGCGTCCTGAACCATACGCGTCCACTTGTGGTTATATCTACAAACATATATTTAGTACAGAAGGACCCTCGCGACCGGCACCAGGGAAAGCTCACTTGTAGTACGGATACTGGGACGCAAACGCCGACAGTTTGCCGACTGTCTCGATCTCCTTCCGGATACCACCCTCGATTTGGCCCAATAGGGTTGCATCTACTTCGTTGTCAGCCAAAGATCTATCGTAGTCAACTCTTGGTTAAGAACGCTGACATTTGGACCGCGGCGTGGAGTGTATCCGCGAGAGCACGCCCTGGGTGAAGGAAACCTGCTGGTTCAGGTCATCAAGGATCTGGTCCAGATCCTTCCGAACGCTGGTGTCCTCTTCGATCTTGGTTTTGAGCTCATCAAAGAGCGTGGGGTCGATCATGGGAGGTGCCATCTCGGACGCTATTTTGGATAGGTGAGTGTGTTTGTTGCTCGCCTGATGTTTGCGGGGTGGAGCTCGGTAGTGAAGACAATTACTTGTACTTGTTGGAATCGTCTCCGGAAGTTGGCTACAGACGTGAGCCGTGAAGACTAAACTCCCCAATCAATACGATGATTGAGGTAAGTATTGTATTCTTCAACGTTTACGCCTGGACTTCGCTTTTCTGAAAGGTGTGGCCGTGACATTTGACGTAGCCCTGCGCGCCAATCGCTGCTTTGTGGACCCTAACCCTGTTCTTTCCAGCACCTTCAACAGCCTCCCCCCTCCCCCGGCTCATCGTCGGGGCCCCTTTGGTGTGTTGAACTGCCTTAGTTATTTTACCATGAAACATAGAGCACACACGCCATATCGAAGCCACCAGCATTAATCGAGTTCCTGTAGAGGGGGGATTGATATTCGTTGTGTCCGTCATCAAAATACATCACATGCAGGGAGTTACTGGAAACTCATCCCTTTCTCATACCAAGCAAACAATCATCAAATCATCAAGGCATCCCTACCACCCACCCCAATCCTGCCCTTCGCTCACACAAATCATCGTTATCATCATCACCACCGTCAATCATCACCAGTCAAGAACCACCCAAAATAACTAAGAAAAAGTCGTATCTTCGTCACCCTCAACCAACCCGTATCAACTGCTCTTGCCCACCCCAAGTCTCGATCCCTCTCACGTACTACTCGTAAAGAACCGCTTGAAAGCAGCCCTAATCCCACCCTTCTCCTTCCCCTCCCTCTCTCGTTCCCGCTCCCTCTTCTCTTGTCTCTTGGCCCGATGTGCCTGCGAGTCCGGATCCCCTCCGCTTGCCGAAGAAGACAATCCGGCCGCATCATCACCACCACCGCCACCCACACCAGCCGACGCAGCCGGCGCCTTGACCTTCTGCTCCGCCGTCGTCGGTCTCGCTCTCTCGGTTTCCCTGTCCCTATCTTTATGTTCCCGGCTTGACTTGGGCACGGCCTCCTCGTCATCGCGGGCCGCCTTGCGCAAGGAGCGCTCCTCGGATCTGCGCAACTTGGTCGTGCTGCCACGCGTCGTGCTAGAGCGTCTGAGTTCGGGGATGACGGCCGTCCTGGAGGATGATGATGTCGGCGGCAGGGCACCGGCCGAGGCTGAGGTGTCACGAGGCCCGCCAAAGTTGGACTCGAGCACGCTCTGGCCATTCTTCATGTCGAAGAACTTCTTGCTTGCTGCCGGCGAGGGTGGAACAACTACGTCCGTTTTGGGATCGATGCTGTGGCGGCTCTGGCTGTGGCGGCGGGATTCGCGGTATTGAGAATGTCGGTGTTCCGAGGATCGCTCCGAGCGGTCGCGGGGGGCGGACCGGTCTCTGTCCTTATCTGTCCTGGCCGGTGAATCGGGTGTGCCGTCCCCGACCTTTTCTAGTTCCCGCGCACGGCGTCGCTCCTCCTTGCGCTTGTCGTGAGCTGCTTGTTCCTCCGGGGTCCGGTGTCTCCGGGAGTGGGGGCTGCTCTTATGCTCTCCGAAGCCGGGGTCCTCACGGGTTGGCGTACGCGGAGGCTCATCCTCGCCCCGCGAACGAACCGACGTGTGGCTATCTGACCGGGAGCGGTGGGAACGTTTGGATACGTCCTTGCTTCCATCCCGGCTGTCGCGGTGGGGTCGGTGGCGTGAAGAGTGGTGACTATGGCGTCTGGCGCTGTGAGCAACCTTGGAATCCTCGGCCTTCAGGGGTTCTCTAGTTTTTTCTTTGTCGTCTACTGAGAGGTCAGCAACAGGATCAGAAAGGTCTCTCGACCTGGCTCTGCCCCTATCCTGCTCATCCTCGGCGGGTATCGCGGAATCCTGGAGAGACATGATGGGCACCTCAACCTCCTTCCCCTTCCCCTTCACAGCAGAATGCATTTCGGGCGAACCAAGGACATCGGTGCCTGAACTGGCGAGTCTCGGACTCCCTGGCGGACTAAGAACCTCGGCCGTGGCGTAGATAACTACGGCGGCTGCCACCATCTCCTCGGCCTGTTTGATGGTGTTCCTCCGTTGTCGGCGCAAGCTGCGCATCCGGCTCAGTTGCCGAGCCACAGGATCGTCGAGGTCAGGAAGAATGAGAGCAGGTGTGGGTACGCGGAAGTCCACACTGATGTCTTGTTGAGCGGGTCCTGTTCCATCGGTTTTTGGCCTTGGGGCAACCAGATAGCCTTCGTCAGTCTTCTCTTCCCCGACACCAACAACGACACTCCGCGCGGCAGATTCCTCACCATCCTCAGAAGAAGCTTCCTTCTTTTTCTCACTCTCCGCCGCTTCTTCTTGGGCCGGCGTATCCTTATCCACAATGTGGAAAGACTCTGAGAGCGGGACAGATTTGTCCACCACAACTTGCGAAGTCTCTATCGCCTTGCCTTGCTCGTGGGGTAGCGACCTCTCCAGCTCGGCTCCCTCTCCGGAACTCTCCTTGACCGGGACGGTCTTTGGGGCTGCCGTGCCGTCAAGCTTGTCCGCAAACTGCTCAAGGCGCGCGATTGTTGGCGGGAGATCGGGGTTGTCAGAGAAGTTGGGTGCAGCCAGAGCAGCTGTAACCCCGACCGCGCCGGCTACTCCAGCACCGATTGCGACCTCCTTTACGCAAGAGTCACTCGTGTCCGCGCTACCCCCTTTCCCAGACAACGTCTCCTTCGCGACGCTAGGCAAAGAGAACGATGTGTCGGTGGGTAAAGTAAAGCTCGTATCTGTCGGCAGCGGGTACGTTGTCTCTGTTTGCAGAGAGAAATTCGTGTCTCTAGGGTCATAATCCGAGCCGGCATGATAAACTGTGTGTCCGAGAATAGGACTCTCCTTGCCCGTCTTCCTAGTGTCTCTGAAACCCGTGGCGGAGGCGTCGTGGGTGACCGCATAGTCGGCAATGGCGATTTGACCCGAGGTCTTCTCGTCGATGACTGAAGGCACTGGGACAGCGGCAGCCTTGATAGCACGAGACGTAGCATCTGGATCTGTCGCACTAGGCTCCAGGAGACGCTGTGCGTTGTGCTGAGCAACGGTTTCATACTCGGGTGCAGACTTGTCGGCCGCAAGGGGTGCGTTGTCGGTGACCGGTACCGGGGTCTCTGCGCCGCCGTCTGGAACAACCTGCCTGCTCGACATATCACTTTGAACTCGCCCTTCCGGCGATGGGAGTTTGGGGGCGGTTGCCTCTGGGGTAGCCTCCGTAGCTAAGTCAGTGGTTAGAACCGGTGGCTCTGCTGCATCAACTGACTTGGCCGCTACAGCGGCGGTAAAACCGCCAACAGCCAGCGAAGTCGCTAAAATTGGGACGGTTGAGTCCTCGCTATGTCTAACAGCTGGCTCCTTGGTTTCAAGTTCCCTCTCGGTCACTAACACCGTTGAGTCATCAGCCAGTTGAGGGTTCTCGGCGCTCAGCATGGCAATGGATTCATCGCCAACGGTGGCAGCAGGGATTTCATCTTGAGATCGCAAATGCTCGGAACTCGAGACCTGCTGGAGTGATGTGGTGGATTGGCCAATGAGCACTGGTTCGTCAACAAGCTGGGAACTTTCAGCGGCGACGACAGCAGGCTCGTCGACTGCAACATCGCTGGCGAGTGAGTCGTTCTGGGGCCCTGGCATGCCAGGATCAACGGCCGCTTGTGGTAGCGTAGTGGATGGCTCGGTAGCGGCTGATTCGCCAACGGCGGTCTCGGTTTGCCCGGCGTTGTCGGGGATTGAAGCAGCCTCGACCAAGATATACTCTTCCGAAGCCGTCTCAGAAGCGACCTTTTCGGCCCCAGGTTCTGGAACATGGCTCGAGACCTGCGTTGCTTCTGTTTCATTAGGCTCCGGCGTCGGCTCCGGCTCGCCAGAGTTGACCCGGGCAATATCGACATCTGGCTCGGTTACCTGTGTCTCGGCAGCGGCGTCGGTGGCGGCCTCGCTGACTGTGTCCTGAGAGATGGGTTCAAGGCAGTCGTCTGGCTCTTCTGTGATGTTAGACTTTTCAGCGTGGTGAGACTCAGTGGAGGCGGCAGATTCTTCTGTGCTGATTGGCAGCACAGATTGTTCGGTTATGGCGACTTCTCCATCGTCGGATGCCCCGACGTTAGCACCCTCGGCCACTTCAATCCCTTCAACTTCTTTGGTTTCGGTGGACTTCTCATCGACGGCGGGCTGGTCAACCGCGGGAACTTGCTCAGTCGGAGCAACTTCATCAAGTTTGACGGGGTTCCCGGGCTCAATGCTTTCCTCAGCCTGGTCAGACTGGTTTAGCAGGGGAAGTGCTTCGACTTCGGCGGGCTCTTGGGCTACAGTAGCCCCCGCAGCGGGTGCAACCTCCTCAATCTTGACGGCGGGCGCTAGGGCAGCAATGGTCTCATCACCGACAGTGGCGGTCTCCTCAGCCACGACGGGCTCCCCCGCCTCGGTGGTCTTTTCAGTGCTAACGGGTTCGCCAGCCTTCCCAAGGTTGACAGCTTCAGTGGCTTGTGTTGGCTCAACCACTTCTGATGTAGCAGTGTTGACGACTTCTTCTGTAGCTGTAACGCCGGGGGTCACTTGCACAAGGGCCGGGTTTTCCTGGGATTCAGCGATGCTCTCGACCTCTGCCATCACAGATGAGGTGGAAACCTGTCTCCCTGTGAGTAAACCTGTGGGAGAACCATGAGTCTTCATCCCTGCACTTACAACTTGCTCGCTGGTTGCCGTGCTTTCCAGATTTGAGTTTTCTTGGGTCTTGGTCTGCTCCGCGCCAGCGTCGGAAGAGACGTTTTTCGTTTCCATGTCGTTTTCATTATCTCCAGCCGTATTACCGGTATTAAGTTGTTTGGGGGTATCGGGGGTATCATTGTGAACAGCCGAAGTCGTCAAACTCGTGTCCTGGGTATCATGGGTATCCGGAAGTCGCAAGTCCGAGTCCGTGTCTGTTGGTTGCGAAATGCACTCTGCCGCCTCCTCTCCTGCCATTCCACTGCCATCCGGGGTATCAAGCAATGTGGGGTGTGCCTCACCTGTAGCCTTTCTCTCAGCTGCCTTTTGTTCACGAGGAATTGGCCCAACCGTGTCCTTGCTCTCGTCGTCTTCTGCCTTGGGTTCTTGGGGGTTTTCTGCCAACTTCTCTTGAACCGGAGGAGCGGCCTCGGGCTCTTTCTCTTGGTGTTGTTTCGGCTTGTCGGTCGTTGCCTCGTCGGGGACTAGCTCAGCGGTCTTGTCGGTGGGTTTCTCCTCCGGTGCTAGAGAAGCTTCATCTACGTTTTCCCTCTCGGGTGTAGTCACCACCTCATCGGACTCCGCTGCCGC